AAAAAAAAAAAAAAACGGAAAAAAGGAAAAGATAAAATAAACAAAACCATGATTGGACACTCTAAATGAAAGCACCAATGATGAGGGATCATGATTTTCTCTATGCTTTGTGAATAATCGCGCACTCGGGGCCTTCGACTAAACACGATAAGTGTGACTTCAAGACGCTCTCAGGGCCTTCTCTTAGACACGGTTGTATGATAAACACGCACTCATGGCCTTGCTTAAACACACGAATGAACACAACGTTCTTTTCTATTCAACTCATCAATTCTGGACATGAAAAACAATGAGGGATGATCCCTATTTATAGATCCTAATTATCTCTAATCCTACTCCAACTAGAACTCCTAACTCTTACATGAATATAAATCCTAAAGCAACTAAATATCCTAATTACCATACTAATAAAATCCTACTAATACTAAAACTCCTAATTACTTGGCTTGCACTCTAAATCCTTGCCTTACACTCCAAGCATAGAAGCCCTAGCCGCCCTAGCCGTCCTCTGCCTCGGTCTTGTGCTGCCCTCGCGCCTCGCCCTAGCCCTCGAGGACTAGGGCTTCACCGCCTTCGCCCATGCGTGTATGTCCTCTCGTCTTGAGGCTTAAGGTCTCGCGCCATGCGTACGCCATTCCTACTTCTTGACGGATCAAGCTTCAATCCCATATCCACTTTGCTTATTCCTACTAGGAATATGCTCCCGGCTATGTTGCCTGATATTCTGAGGATTACTCCCGTCATCAATCTTTCATGCGCGTTCCGGCACTCAGCTGCTTTTCCTATTCCTGGGGGGTTTAGTATTCGCGCCTTGCCTATTCCTACGAGGATTAGGCTTGCCCCCTTGTTCTTGCATTGTGCCTCGTGCATGTCGCCCACCGCCCTACGCTCGCCCAGCGTCCCGTGCACCGCGCCTCGCTCGTCTATCGTGCGCCCATGCACGCCCGCGCTGCCCGCGCATCGTCCAGCGCTCGATGTGCGCTCGTCCATTCCCTGCAATTTCTCATGTGCGCCAATGCTCGCGCATTGCCCGTCCATCTACAGCAGCCTCCTTCGCGCGCTAACCACCTAACATCCACCCCCTGCGCGCCACTTCGCCTAACCACCAAGTGCCATGCCCGTCTACGCCAATGCGCGTGTGCGCGCCCTTCTTGAATGCACCTCTCCGTGCGTGTGAGCGTTGCTAGCCTCGAGACCACCTTCTTGCGTCCTTGTGCACTTCCCTGTGCGACCTCCATTGGCCGACTTGTGTGATCGCGCGTCCAACCCGCATACTTCTCCGCGTGCTTGGTCGCGCGGTGTCCTCAACCCATTGCTTGCAGGCCCGTGGCTACTAGGCCCATGTCAACTCCTCGATCGAAGCCCGTCCGCATACGCACCATGCGCATACACCTCATGCACCTAGGGCTCTTGCGGCATTTTTGTGTATGTGCCCTTGTAAACGCGCGAGCTCCTCTCACGCGTACCCGCTCTTTTACATGAGACTCCCATCGACTCCCTCGTGCTCGCGTCAACTCGTGGCGCTCGTCACGTGCTTGTGCGCCTTGTATACGAGCTCGTACCCACCTCTTAGGCCATGCGTGCGTTGTTTTGGCCCTATTTTCAGCCTCCTGGGGTCCTCTCAGCTCTTAGACCTTTTCGTCGCCAGGGCTCGAAACCCACTTCCGCATCAGGGCGCGTTGGCGTGCGCTGGGACTGGCCAGCATGCTGTCACGCCCTTGTTTCTCCGAACCTTGGTAGCGTGCGGCCTTAGCCCCTTGTGCGCCCTTCGCAGCTATCTAAGTCAGCCTTACTCGTTCTCGGATCGTGCTCGGTGTGTGCTAGTACTTGCCTAGAGAATGTGGCAAAGATATGTAAGAGATATTATAAGGAAAGCTTGTACTATTATTCACACAAACTTTGTACAAGAGAGCTTGGTTGTTGCTTGGATGATTTGCAAATGAGGGGGCTTTTCCTATTTATAGGCAGCACCTCCTCTAATGAACCTTCTAAGTCTTACAAGGGTCTTAAGAGTTCTAGACCCTTCCCAAACATCCTACTTCTTACACACATGTCCTAGATCCTTCTACACAACTCTACAAGGCTCTAGGCTCATCAAGTCCCTACTACATGTATCTATACAACTCTAGGGCCTTTTAGAAGCTCCTAGACAAAAGTAAGCCTCTACTAAGGCATCTATGTACAATATTAGGTCTGTTGCAGCCTAAGTCTTCAAAAGGTTGGATAGCCCTGTGCGCACGCTTGCTGTGTGCGTGTGAATTCTCCGTGCATGCGTGCGTGCTTTGTGCCGGCGTGCGCGCAGAATGGCCCGAGTCTGCGCGAGTCAGGTAGTGCGGGGCGTTACATTCTCCCCCACCTGTTGTGGCGGCGTCCCCGTCGTGTATCGTTCGATGGTATCCTTGAATTTCCATAGGACTTCCTCGAAATCCCAAGATGTTTCTGAATCGGGGAGGCCCTTCCACTTGATTAAGTATCGTGTTTTCGGTGGTACCCCTCTTCGCCTGACTATGTCGGATGTAAGCACCGCTTCTACTTCCTTGTCAAATGACTTGGTGGTGATTGGCGGTGCCCTTGATGATAACCCTCGGCTTGGGTCTTCCATGTCCCCTTTATAAGGCTTCAACATACTTGCGTGGAAGACGAGATGGATTTTAAGGGATGGAGGTAAGTCGACCCGATATGCTACATTACCAATTTTCTTGATCACCGGGTACGGTCCCTCGTACTTTCGTATCAATCCCTTGGGCAAGCTTCGAAAGGTTTTGAAATTTTGGGGCAACAGCTTCACAAAGACTAATTCTCCTTGGGAAAACTCTCCTGGCCTTCTCTTTTTATCGGCCCACTTCTTCATTCTCCTGCGGGCCCTATGCAAGTATGACCACGCTAAGTCGGCGTGTTCTTCCCATGTCTTGACCATCTTTTCAGCCCCGGGACTCCTACCTTCCTTGGTAGGTAGGGAGATTGTGTGCGGTGTTAGTGGTTGTCGCCCCGTGACCACTTCAAATGGGCTTTGCCCAGTCGATTCACTCCTCTGCGAATTATATGAAAACTGGGCCACATCGAGTAATTTGGCCCAGTCCCGTTGTTTTGCACTTATGAAGTGCCTCAAATAGCATTCGAGAAGTGCATTGACCCTCTCAGTTTGCCCGTCGGTTTGGGGGTGAAAACTTGTTGAAAAATTAAGCTCTGTCCCCAAGAGTTTGAAAAGTTCGGTCCAAAGTCGCCATGTGAACCTCGGGTCCCGGTTACGGATGATGCTCCTGGGTAGCCCCCAATGTTTAACTACGTTCTTAAAAATTTCACGGGCAGCCTCCTCGGCGGTACAATCTTTGGAGCACGGAATGAACGTCCCATACTTCGTAAATCGGTCTACGACGACCATGATCGATCCATATCCCTCGGACTGTGGCAACGAACTAATAAAGTCTAATGTGATAGAGTCCCACGGTCCTGCGGGTGTCGGTAGTGGCTCTAACAGTCCTGCCGGGTGCCTGTTCTCGATCTTATGTTTTTGGCAAACAAGACAAGTTCTGACATATGTCTCCACATCGTCCTTGAGCTGGGGCCAAAAATAGTTGGTCTCGAGCAACGCCACTGTCCTCGTTGGCTTGGGTGTCCTGCCCACTTGGTGTCATGGCATTCCTTCATGAGGTCTCGCCTTATGCCGTCCCACATTGGCACGTACAAACGTCTCCCTTTTGTGTAGAGAAGACCGTCCTCTACCCAAACACGTTGAGTTTTCCCTTCCTTAGCAAGGCCTATTAGGGCCTTGGTTACGGGGTCCCGTTCGAGCCCTTCTCAGATACGGGAGAGCACGTCCCAGTCAGCTTTGCTGATGGCGGCAAGTTCAGCCTTTCGGCTTAATGCATCCGCCACTACGTTAGCTTTGCCCGGCTTGTACTCCAACGAATAGTCGAACTCTGCTAGAAAATCTTGCCATCGGGCTTGCTTTGGGGAAAGCTTCTTTTGGGTTTGGAAATAGCTAGTGGCCACATTGTTCGTCTTGATGCTGAAATGTGCCCCTAGCAAATAGTGACGCCATACCCTCAAGTAGTGGATGATGGTTGTCATCTCCTTCTCTTGCACCGTGTAGCGTCGCTTGGTATCATTCAGCTTTCAGCTCTCAAACGCTATAGGGTGTCGCTCTTGCATTAGTACTCCCCCAATAGCAAAGTCAGAGGCATCTGTGTGAACCTCGAAGTGTTTGGTGAAGTCAGGTAATGCTAAGACAGACTCCTGGCTCACCGCGACCTTGAGGTCATCAAAGGCTCGTTGGCACTCGTCGGACCATACCCACGGCTTACCCTTCTTAAGTAGGTCAGTGAGAGGTGCTGCCCTTGCCGAATAGCCCTATATGAATCGGCGATAATAGTTGACCAGCCCTTAGAAGGATCGTAATTCGGTTACCTTTGTTGGCGCTTCCCACTCCATGATTGCCTTCACCTTTGCCCCGTCCATTCTGATTCGTCCATGGCCAATGATATGTCCCAAGAAGTTTACTTCTTCTTGAGCGAAAATGCATTTGGACTCCCTTACGTAAAGCTCATTGTCCCGAAGTACCTTAATACAGTACGTAGGTGGTCGGCATGCTCTTCGAGCGTGTTGCTATAGACAACAATGTCATCCAAGTAAACCACTACGAACTGATCCAAGTATGGATGAAATATCTCGTTCATGAGCGTGCAAAATGTAGCTGGGGCGTTACTGAGCCGAAAGGGCATCACTAACCATTCGTATGACCCATACCTCGTGATGCACGTGGTCTTGGGTTCGTCCCCTTCGGCGATGCGGACTTGGTAGTAACCTTTTTGTATATCCATCTTGGTGTACACTCGGGCTCCTCCAAGTGGATCAATTAAATCAGCAATCAAAGGGATGCGATAGAGATTCTTAATTGTTACCTTGTTGAGCGCCCGATAGTCTACCCACATGCGTAGTGTCCCGTCATGTTTCTTTTGAAAAAGTACGTGTGCGCCATATGGTGCCTTGCTCGGTCAGATCTTTCCTAACTCCAAGATCTCTTTAAGTTGCCTCCTTAATTTCTCAAGCTCGGGTGGTGACATACGGTATGGGGCCATGGCAGGTGGTTTGGTGCCCGGTTCTAGTTCAATCATGCGATCCACCCCTCGCCTGGGTGGTAGCTTTCTCGGCAGCTCTGCTGGCATAACGTCCTTGTTCTCCTCAAGGACTCCTCGAATGATGTCGGGTACCTTTGGAGAATTCTCCTCAGAGTTGTCTTCCTTTAGCACAACTACGTATGTGGGTTCACCTCGTTTTGCCCCCTTGGCAAGTTGCATTGCAGAGAGTTGTTTGCTGGGACTCCCGATGTCTCCTTCTATTGTTGGCACCATGCACGGGGAACCCTTTTCTAAGATGCAAACGGTATTAAAGGAAGGCATAGGGATCGCTGTCACCTGTCACAGGAAGTCCATGCCGAGTACCGCTTTGAAATCGTCCATAAGTACGACTGAAAAATTCACGCGTCCCTGCCATGTCCCCAAGCGTAACTCCACATTGCTCGCGACTCCATCTAGTCGACGAGCATTAGCATTAACCGCCTTTAACCATCCAGCTTTTTCGGTCCAAGATAGACCCAACCTTGTGGCCTCCTCCTTGGTAATGAAATTATGACTGCCTCTTGTGTCTACCAGGGCCTTCGTCGGCTTCCCGTTAACCTGTGCCTCCACATACATAAGCCCCTTGCACTTGGCTCTGGCTTTGAGGGCATTAGGGACCTGCAGTGACCCCATCACCGTTGGTTCTTCTTCCTTCTTCTCGGACTCGTGTTGTTCCACAATTGTGAATAGGGAACCTAGCTTCGGGAAGTCCTTCATGGCATATGGACCCTTGCACACAAAGCAGCCCCCTTTCGAAACGAACGCTTTCTTCCTCTCGTCGTAGTTCCGACATCCCGCGTTGCGATCCTCCTTGTCAGTTGTACGTTGGTGGTCTCGGGAGTCTCAGACCTTGTTGTCCTTTTTGTCTCCCCCACCTTTAGCGGGGTACTTCTTTTCCTTTTTGGTGGCATCGGAAGATGATGATGGGCGAAACTCAATGAGGGACTCGCGGCGGCAATAGCGTCATCAATGGTTTTGACGCCCCGGCGTTGTAGCTCTTACTTCGCCCAGTGTTGAAGCCCGTCCACGAAAAAGAATAGCGAGTAATCCTCGGTCATGTTAGGGATCTGAAGCAAGAGGGTAGTGAAGTCTTTGACATAGTCTCTTATAAAGCCCTTTTGCTTCAGTTCCCTTAACTTGCGTCAGGCCTGATACACTACGTTCTACGGATAGAATTGTTGCTTGAGCTCCTTGACAAAGTCGCCCCAAGTGTCTATCTGGCATGTACCTCGTTCAATGTCGCCGTGCTTCCGGCGCCACCATAACATAGCGGTATCGGAAAGGTAAAGCGAAGCAGTCTTTACCTTGGTTGCCTCGTTGGTAAGGTTGATGCCCTCGAAGTATTGTTGCATTCTCCACAGGAAGTTTTCAACTTCTTTGGCGTCCCTCACACCATTGTAGCCTATTGGCTCTGGACACTTCACCCTTGGTGCTGGCGTGGTGTTGTTAGTTTCCACACTAGCAATCACCTTCTTGCAGACGGTGATGTCCTCGTGCATCCCCTCGATGCGCTCGTGGATCGCCTTCATAAGATCCTCCAAGTGATCCATGCGATTTTCTATGGCACTACGTGCATCGAGCCAATAGTTGATGGTGTCTTTGACGGACTCGAACTCCTCCAAGACGAACGTCTCCAATGTCTTGAAGGTGTACTCGACCCTTTCGAGCAATCGCCCATCTCTCCGACGGTTGTCTCTAGCGAGGAGACCTCAGCGCGAGCTCGGCTTTGGTCTCGCTGCTTCTTGTCCTTGGTCGTGGTGGTTTGCTCCCGCACTCGGGTTTGCTCTTTGATCACCGCCGACCCGAATGCATCTTGCTCCTTATCTCCGGCCATACTTTACACGGTACCGAGCGTGGCTCTGATACCACTTGTCACTCCCTTGTTTCTCCGAACCTTGGTAGCGTGCAGCCTTAGCCCCTTGTGCGCCCTTCGCAGCTAGCTAAGTCAGCCTCACTCGTTCTTGGATCGTGCTCGATGTGTGCTAGTACTTGGCTAGAGAATGTGGCAAAGATATGTAAGAGAGATTGTAAATAAAGCTTGTACTATTATTTATACAAACTTTATACAAGAGAGCTTGGTTGTTGCGTGGATGATTTGCAAATGACGGGGCTTCTCTTATTTATAGGCACCACCTCCTCTAAGGAACCTTCTAGGTCCTACAAGGGTCTTGAGAGTTCTAGACCCTTCCCAAAAATCCTACTTCTTACACACGTCCTAGATCATTCTACACAACTCTACAAGGCTCTAGGCTCATCAAGTCCCTACTACATGTATCTATACAACTCTAGGGCCTTCTAGAAGCTCCTGGACAAAAGTAAGCCTCTACATGCATCTATGTACAATACTTAGGTGTGTTGTAGCCTAAGTCTTCAAAAGTTCAGACAGCCCCGTGCGCGCGCTTGTTGTGTGCGTGTGCGTTCTCCGTGCGTGCTCTGTCCGGCGTGCGCGCAGAAAGGCCCGAGTCTGCGCGGGTCAGGTAGTGCGGGGCGTTACAGTGCGCTGAGCTCTGCTGGCTGGTGGTACGCGCGTTTGCTGCGGGCAACTGGGACGCTGCCAATGCTCACTACATGTTGAGGACGTACGCACGTGGCTTGACTGCGTGCTGTCGGGCGCGCTGGCGTGCACTGCATGTATGGCCGCTGGCGGCACGCTATTGGGCAATGCCGCACGGGCTATGCACGACGCGCTGCTGGCGTTCGCGTGCTGCCGCGTGCTGGCAAGCCGCTGCCGGGCTGGCGCTGCACCGCTACGTGCGGGCAAGCCCTACGGTCGACCCTTCGCTGACCGTCCGACAACTTTTTCTGGCAACTATGACTTGGCTGGATATGAAATGACTAAATATACATGAATTTCTCGGGAGTGCTCGGTTAAATAGTGACTTGGCTTGGGAAGGGTTTAAATAGCACTTCCGAGGGCATTACGACTTAAAACATGGGCCGAACAACATGACTTATACATGATCTTGCTAACATGACCATAAAATCATTAATACGAATGTACCCTTCCAAACGCTCGACAGAAGCACCAAAACGTGCGCGTGCTAGCTTGATGTGCTCGGCTCTGCGCGTGTGCTCGTGAGCTTCCACCCAATAATACGTGTACTTGTACAATGATTAAGACAAACTATTTTCCTTCGGTTTTCCCTCTATAATGCTCTCGGTTTTTGCATGAAAATGCATGAGGAAAAACTCCAAAATTTACTATATAAAACAGGTAGAAGATAAAGGTGAAAATGAAGATGAAATGTGGTGACGACACTTGCTCAAGCCGTGTGCTTCCGTGGCCTTCTCTTTGCCGAGTCATCGGGCTAGGTGGCGTGAGATGTGCTCGGTCATCAAGTACATGTGCTTAGTAATCCCATGAATAGCTCAAATCATGCCATGTGTTATAAGCAAGTAGGTGACAAGGACTTGCAACTTGCCATATTTTATTCCAAGCAAGCCTATCCTCACGGCAATGACTTAGAATAAGATGCTTGGATTACTTAGCATAATCATGGCATTAACTAACCATAACCTTGCTATGGACAGTGGCTACCACGCATGGGGCGCACGCACACGGCACGGCGTGCGTCGCTCTCGGCGGTAATGCGCGTACTTGCGAGCGGCAATGCACATTGTGCATGCGCACGACTAGGCTTAATACTTGACTTAGAAAATTCAATACTTAACATGAACTTAGCTTCGAAATTAATTCGAGAATTCTCGACTTCGAACAATTAATCCCGACTAATAACATCTATTTATAAAATAAACAGTCCGGAAATTAATTATCGAACTAACTCGGTTAACAAATAAACCGAATAAACCTTCGACTTAAAGTCAAACTTATTGACTGGAAGCTGAAATAAATATTATTAACAAAAGGAAATACATCACTTTTAGTATTAACATACTGGGTTATTACAATATACCCACCTTAAAATATTTCCGTCCTCGGAAATATAAAACTAGACATATATACAGAGTACAAGGAAAGTATATACATCAAAACTCAAAGTCGGGGAAACGAGCTCTAATGTCTTCTTCGCTCTCCCAAGTGGCATCGGACTCTCCGTGGCAATTCCATCTGATACGTACGAGGGGAATATCTCGTCTACGGATCCGTCGAACCTGTCGGTCCAAAACTGCTACCGGACGTTCCTCGTACGATAAATCTGGCTGAATCTGGATCTCACTATGCTGGAGAACATTATCGGGATTGCACACGTACTTCCGAAGCATGGATACATGAAAAACATTATGAACACTGGGCAACTCGGGAGGTAAAGGCTAAACGATAGGCTACGTCTTCCACTCACTCGATAACTTTGAACGGGCCGATGAAACGGGGTTGTAACTTCCCTCTCTTCCCGAATCGAATGATCCCGCGGAATGGTCGAACTCTCAGAAAGGCTCGTTCTCTGGCCTCAAACTGAATATCTCGTCTATGCTTGTCGGCTGATGACTTCTGCTGACTCTGCGCTGTCTTAAGCCTCTGCCTGATCAACTCAACTTGCTCAACTGTGTCCTCGATCATCTTTGGACCGAGTACCTGACGTTCGCCAACATCGTCCCAATAAAGGGGCGAGCGGCATTTACGCCCGTAAAGTGCTTCGAAAGGAGCCATCTGGATCGACGCCTGATAACTGTTGTTACAGGCGAACTCAACTAATGACAAAATCGACTCCCACTTAGCACCCCTGTCTAGAACCAATGCTCGGAGCATATCCTCGAGCGTCTGGATCGTCTTCTCTGACTGACCGTCTATCTCTGGATGGTAAGCCGAACTGAACTGTAACAGCGTGCCATCACTTCGTGTAAACTCTCCCAAAACCTGCTGGTGAATCTGGGATCTCGATGTGACAAGATATGAATGGGCACTCCGTGGAGTCGAACGATCGCACGGGTATAAATCTCGGCCAACTTCTCCATCGACATGGTCATCACTACAAGTAGGAAATTTGCAACTTTCGTCAACCTGTCCACTACTACCCAAATTGCATCATCATGCTCGAACGACCTGGGTAGCCCCGTAATGAAATCCATTGTGATCTCCTCCCACTTCCACTTCAGAATCTCAAGTGGTTGTAGAAGGCCCATCGGACTCTTGTGCTCGGCCTTAACTTGCTGGCAGACCAAACACCTCTTTACGAAACTAACAACATCCTTCTTAATCCCTCGCCACCAGAATGACTTTTTCAAGTCATGGTACATCTTGGTGCTACCGGGGTGTGCTAGATAAGGCGCGGCATGTGCCTCGCTCAAGATATCCTTCTCAAGGCCTCGACTTTCGGCACTACGATCCTGTCTCTGAACTCCAAGGCTCCATCTGCGCCTCGGGAAAAACCCTCGACTCCTCCGGCGTGAACCTTGGCCTCGATAGCGCGAATAAACTGATCGGAAGCCTGCTCCCGTCGGATTCTGTCTCTCAACATGGGCTGAATATGCATCGAGCTGACACTCCCCGTGATCTCCGCAGGAAGTGACTCGATGACCTGAATCTTCATTCGGGCAAAGTCTCGAACAAGATGTCTCTGTTGGGTAATAAAACAAAATAACTCTCCCTTTACCTTTTGGCTTAGGGCATCGGCTACAACATTTGCCTTTCCCGGATGATACTGAATCGTGCAGTCATAATCTTTAACAAGCTCCAACCAACATCGCAAACGCATGTTGAGCTCCTTCTGTGTGAAAATATACTGCAGACTCTTGTGATCGGTATAAATCTCACACCGACCGCCATATAGATAGGGCCGCCATATTTTAAGTTCATGTACCACTGCAGCCAACTCCAAGTCGTGCGTAGGATAGTTCTGCTCATGGGTGCTTCAACTAACGTGAAGCGTACGCTACAACCTGGCCGTCCTGCATAAGTACACACCCCAAACCCTGCCTCGAAGCATCACTAAAGATGGTGAAACTCCGAGAAGGATCCGGAATAGTCAGCACTGGTGCAGTTGTAAGCCTCTCTTTCAGCTCCTGAAAGCTCGACTCACAACGATCTGTCCATTCGAACTTCACTGACTTTCTCGTCAACTGAGACAAAGGGAGGCAATCTTCGAGAACCCCTCAATAAATCTGCGATAATAACCTGCTAAGTCGAGGGAACTACGAACTTCAGACGGATTCTTTGGCGCTGACCAGTTCTGAATTGCGGCAATCTTAGATGGATCAGCCTCGATACCTGTCGGAGTAATAATGTGGCCAAGAAAAGCCACGCGCTGCAGCCATAATTCGTATTTAGAGAACTTCGCATATAACTTTTCTCGTCTAAGGGTATCGAGAACAACCCTCAAATGCTCTTCATGCTCCGTCTGGCTCCTGGAATAAATCAGAATGTCATCAATGAATATGATAACAAACTAATCAAGAAAAGGATGGAATACACGGTTCATCAAGTCCATGAACATCGCTGGGGCATTACTGAGACCAAACAGCATAAGCACGAACTCATAATGACTGTATCTGGTTCGGAACACTGTCTTAGGAACATCTGACTCCTTGATCTTCAACTGATGGTAACCTGAATGTAAATCAATCATAGAAAATACACAGGCTCCCCTCAACTGGTTGAATAAGTCGTCAATTCTGGGAAGCGGATATTTATTCTTGATCATCAACCGGTTAAGATACCGGTAGTCAATACACATGCGTATAGAACCGTCCTTCTTCTTGACGAATAGAACGGGTGCTCCCCATGGTGAAACGCTCGGTCGAATAAAACTGAGATTCAACAAATCTTGGATCTGAGTCTTTAACTCCTGTAACTCCTTAAGTGCCATTCTGTACGGCGCCTTGGATACCGGTCCGGCTCCTAGAATAAGATCAATTGAAAATTCCACTTGCCAGCTAGGTGGACCACCTGGAAGCTGGTCTGGAAACACGTCCACGAACTCACGAACGATAGAAATGTCGTGAGGTGTCCATGCTTTCGGTTCGTCTCTGACAAAGCTCACTAGGTAACCCTGTCAATCACCTCGCCGTAGGATCTTTCTGGCTTTCGCCAGGGATATAATATGAGGTAGAGTATGGGTCCTGGTCCCGAAGAAGGTAATCTGGTCGTCCTCCAGAAGATAGAGAGTAATATCCCGGTCGTGACAATGAATATCTGCATGAAAACGGGTAAGCCAGTCCATACCGAGAATGAGGTGAAAATCCCTCATCTCGATGACATAAGCGTTGCTAGTCAAGATACAGCCACCGACAAAAAGGTTGAGACTCTCGGCTATGGCATCAGTCACTATCTTTCTTCTCGAGGCCAAACTCACCTCGAGAGGATCGACAACGCTGACAGAACGAACCCCAGTGGCATCAAGACATCGGTGTGATATGAATGAATGGGTCGCTCCGGTGTCGAATAAGGCAAAAACAGGAACATCATTAAGAATAATCATCCCAGAAATGGTACCTGGGTGCTGCTCCGCTTCGGCCTGATCGATGGCATAAACACGGGCCTACTGTCTCCCACACTGCTGATGTTGGGGTTGTCTCGGTGGCTGCTGTCTGGGCTGCTGAGGTGGTTGTTGAGGTTGCTGTGGTTGTTGCTGTTGTTGCTGTTGTTGCTGTCGTGCCGGGCAGTTGGCACAGTTATGTCCGAGCTCTCGGCAATAGAAACAAATGTTTTGGCCCATAAGGCACTCTCCGTGATGATGTCGTCTACAAGTGGGGCAAAGTTGTAATATCCCGACTTTTATCAGTATAATAATATTTCAGTTCCAATATTATTTTT